TTTTTTTTTTTTTTTGTCAAACCGTAATATATTAATAACTTGAAAACTCAAAAAGAGTAAAATTGAAGTGCCAGCGGGCACCATGGAACCAATCCCCTTGAATCCGCATTGGTGGTCAAGGGGTAGAAACTCCAACAAAGAGACTAACATCAAAAGACGAAACTTCAAAAAAGAGACACAAATTCCATATAAGAGACTAATAACCAAACGACGCTGGACTAAACGAAAAAATAACAATGAAAGATAAAAAACAATTTACACCTAATACACAATATAAAATAAAACCCCCCCTAAACCTAGCAGATAACACCACAACCACCTAAACCGACTACCGAGTCACACCAATAACAAAGAACCTCAGCCAAGCAACAAGAACTAAACTCTAAACCTGAAAACTAAGTTACTCAGCCCGCCTAGACAAATTTTCGGCCAAGTTCTGGACCCAAAAGAACTTCTACACTTGGGATAGGAAGGGAGACCACCAATAACACGCCGGAGGACTCAAGACAAAGAACCTGAAGAACACCTTAGGCAGCCCGCAATCGAACCATCCCCCCCGGCACAGCAAGCCGGCAGGCAGCCAGGCGGGACGCACAGCAAGCCGGCAGGCAGCCAGGCGGGACAACACCACCAAGGCAAATCGCGGCCGAGCTGGGGCATCCTCCACAGAACTGAACGAAAGCGTGCGAGAACAGAACTCCAGCGGTATGGTAGGCTCCAGCGGCTGGAGCTAGAGATGGCGGTCGGCAACCCCTCCGGTGTCGGGGAAGACAAGGCGGTGAAACCCACCTTCGGCCTGTCAACCACAGATACTGACAGATATCGAGAGAGGCGGAAAAACAGCCCTCAACCGCGACTCGGCCAAGGCCGGCCCGGTGGTTGCAGGGGGTGACCCGCCGGAAAAGGGGGGCGTCCGCGGCTGTGAAATTAGGGTTTCCTAAGCTTTTCTATCGAGAGAGAAAAGGGGAATAATGTTTCGTGTTGTTTGCTTGACTTCCAGTTTTTGCAGTTTTGTCGCAGTAGTGTTTTCATTTACTCTAAAAAGAATAATATATTACAAAATATTTCATTAAAACGTATCAACTAACCATGTTTCAAAAGTTACTACATCACATATGCCAATTCACCAGAATTTTGGAATTAATTCTACCAAAAATAACAGATGAAGAATTTTCTGGTTCAGAAAAGAAGATTTTACAGTACAACAGAAGTGCCGAGAATTCTGCGAATCGACTTAAACACGAACGTACACGAAACAGGCTTCATGATCGGGAACTCGCATCAATAGTACGAAAATCAGAAAAATAAATATGGAGTTCAACCATGATCTCTAGTTTAACTTCCAATAGTATGAAAGTAGAAAAAGTACAAGACAACAGCAAAATTAGCACGGTCGATAGAGTCTGATTCTGACTCACAAAGCGGGTACTCAGAAGAAGATTATTGATACTCCCATTGTTAAGCATCCTATAGCCACCCACGGGCTTAGTCTCTCGCCTGTTTCCAGAAAAAAATTACAAAGAAAAAGTGACTGAGTTCATGTAGCAAATATAAACAAATTATACCATGGGAATTAGAACAGTGGATGAGAGTACCAACAAATAGAGAGCTGTTTTATTGGCCTTTCTCGAGCGTTATTTGTTAAAATTCATATAATGATGCTCATGCATAGAAGTGGATTATGTGAAGCAACTGCAAAAACATATAGCTATCTAGTGGAATTGACGCAGCATTAAACATATTTTTAAAAGTTGCAGGTCTTGTTTACAAGTCAGAAACCTTAAATCTTGGGAAGAAATTGGAATTGTAACTGAGATGGATCCATAATATTAAGCTCATTCTAGATATCAAGGTAACGTTACTCCTTCATATGTGTTGACTTATAATTTATTTAATGGATACCTATTCTAGCAGCCTTCCAGAAGACACCTCGAAACCTGACAAGTTAGCACCAAATCAGAATAGAGATGATAATAATGCTGACAGCCAATAGAAAACAAATAACCATAAAAGTAAATTAACATATAAAGAAGCAAAACCGTGAAGTCGCACCAGACAAAGTTGTACAATGTGGCAAATGTTCTGTATTGACATTTAACTAAAGCAAAGTAATGCACTTATCCAACAATAAACTCCACAACTAGTAAAAGGTCCTCAGAGTTCAGACAATCAGATTTCCAAGTCAAGCAATGGTAAATTCTAATAACTTGATTGCAGTAAGAAGTGTAAACATTATTTTAACCAAGGTTACCACTCAAACTTTCGAAGACTCACTTCGCAATTATTGCTCTTTTTTGGTGACTTTTTCAAGGAAATCTTTGGTCCCCTTAATTTAGGCACAGAGCAAGGTAAAAGAGACACTATTGCCCGACAAATTGCATTATGCCATTTACTCTTGCAGGATTGCTATTCGCAAGAGAAATTTCGCGGTGTTAGTCTTCTTTACAAGCTGTGGCACATAATATCTTCAAGAACAACATAATGGTCCCATGAGATATCATCAAAATTTAGAGATTTGATCATTATCCCAATGCCTAATGATATTCAACAAAGACATTCCAATTTAAACAAGAGCTATCCTCAAACATTAATTACAGTATAGCTACATACTGATGGGAGGTCTTACCCAGTTCTCTGTTCAAGAAGAGCCGGAAACTGAATCTTCACGTACGTGCAGGCACAGATGCCTAACAAAACTACCGTGAGGAAAGAATGGAAATTGAAGAGAGCCGACTGAAAAAATCGAAATGATATATAAAAGTTTCAGCATTCGGAGCTCAAGCCCAGATAAATATGAATCCCGAACGTCACATATAATCTTACCATGTTTGAATTACCCTGCTTTGTTCACTTCTAAGCTTCCGTGTATTTCTACAAACAGCATAAGCAGTGCTCAATTCGTTGCAAGACGAATACACGTAAATCACGAGATTGGGGAAATATAAAAACAAATGCAAGTTCATCACTTAATGCTAAATAACGAGCAAATATGAATCATAAAAGCATTCCAGACACAGATACAAACTTTTTAACCCTTTCACATATATGATCTGCACAAATATTCCCTGGATAATAACTTCTATATGACTGCAAATAACAACAAAGTATATTGATCACACACAACACATAGCAGCCGGAGCGCGAAGCGTGAATCAATGTTATTGAAAAACTATTAACACTGTTATACTGAAATTAAAAACGATCCACAGGAAACCGAGGACGAAAAGGAGTTAAAATCTTTACAACTTAATACGATTCACGGAGACATTAATCAAGATTTGAAGGAAAAGGGCTCACAGGAAGTTGAAATGGCGTTGCAGATTTGAATCTCGTCAAGAAGTCGAAGCTTTTCTTTTGAGCTCAGAACCCAATTTACAGCAACGAAAACTGAAAAGGGGCTTTGGGGGTGGGAGTTTGAAAGAATTTATTTTTATTGATGTTTTTTAATTAATAAATCTATATCTATATCTATATATATATAAAAAAGTTTGATATTTAGGTGTAATAGTAACTAAAATCCCGCCAAAATAATTCGTGTTTACTTTTATTAGTAACTAGTGTGGTACCCGTGCGATGCACGAGCTAGTTTTATTATGGTAAGCATTTAGATTGGATGAATGAAAAAACGTAAAACGCATATATTAGAATAAACAAAATGTAACTTATATATTAAGAAACACATTCTTGTATACAACATTATTTGTTTGCCCTTTTGTTAAATCGTCTACCGCCACAAATTAAAATTTTCAAACACTTAAGATTCGTAGCGCGTGAAACATGCATAAAGCTGGCCGTGAAGGTTACATATATTAGGATTCTAGACAGGTTTAAATAAATCAAATAAATTATTTAGCAGGATATATCTTATATGTTTTATACTTGTTTTATGCAGATTGCATAGCAAAATATAACGGATATCGTAAAACGTCTTTCGTGATAATCTATAGTTAATTCAAATTTTATATTGCCAAAAAAAAAAAAGATATATATAAATAACAGTAGTTTAATAGGAAGTTCATTTATATGAGAATATGTGATTGTATTTTTTTAATTGAAAATTTTCATTCAGCCAATTTTTAGTTCAGCCAGATTTTTGGAATAAAAAATGAGAAAGGATTTTGATTTTTAGAAAACCGTAAACACTACTGAAATCTACCAAAATTAAATCTACAATACCCATCATTTTTTAGGGTGCATTTAAGGGGTTAATAAATTAAAAAAATTAAAAAAACTACCGGCATGCAATAAATGTGGGCCGATTTTCTGGCAACTCAATGATAAGGGATTTAAAAATTAAAATTTTATATTCGAAATGAGACCTAATTATTTTCAATTAGATTTTTTGAATAAAAAATGAGAACAGATTTTGATTTCTATTTAATTGAGAATGGATTTTGATATCTGAAATTTTCAAAAAAATACATCAACAAAACCCATCAATTTAGGGTGCATTTATGGATGCCCGATTTCTTGGGTTAAGATGAAAAGAAAATTAAAAAACTGCTGAAATTGGAATGCATTAAATATTGGTTGATTTTTTTATGTTAATATTTTTTGTAAATAGGTTGTCTTTTTATATATTTATAGATTTGAAGACACTTACAATTTTCCTAAACTATTTTGAAAAAAAAAACATGTCTAAAAATATTTAAACTTAATATATATATATATATATATATATATATGTGTGTGTGTGTGTGTGTACGTATGTAGGTGTGTGTATATGTATATATAGTTATAATATGACATGATAAAATGTTATATAAAAGTATCTATCATTTTATAAGCCTAAATAAAGACATTATAAATTTTACGAGAGAAAATTTACTTAATATATATAAAATAAATATTGACATGATCCCAAATTATGACGGTATTTATCAAAATTTGAGTCTATAATATTTCAAAATTATTATTTTTTTTATAAGTTTGTTACCGTTAAAAAGAAATTTTGTACACATAATAATTTCACGCTTTAGATGAGTGAAAATTATTTTTTTTTTTAAAAAAAAATTAACTAATGATTTATATTGCGATTAGACAATTAACTTGTTTTAAGAAAAAGAATGATTTATATTTGCGATTAGACAATTAACTTGTTTTAAGAAAAAAAAAATTATGTTACAATAGTTTTTTTAGAAAAAATATGTTAGAATAAATAGATAAGAGATGAGATTTTTAAAATTTATAGGGATCTATATAATAAGATTTTTCCATATGGAATTAAGTGTGAACAGAAGGGTCAACAGATTAAAGATGGGATAAGATTTCTTCTGTACGTTATCCAATAAATCAGCCAATTTATTTCCCTATTCATAAATGTCCAACAATATCTATTTTTTAGGACACTTTTTATGAGATTGGTGGGTGTTTTATAAAATTGGCGCCAAATATCTTAAAAGGTTATTCTTTTAATATATAGATAGATAGATTTTTTGAAAATATTTTATAATTTGCGGAATGTTTTTGAAATTCGATTTTTAAAAAAATAGAATATTTACAAAATAGATTTGGTAAAAGTTGCCATTGATTATATTTTCCTTTCAATAGAATCTAATATTGTTGGTACATACAAATTAAAAAAGTCAATAAAATCTTTACATGAAAAATTTAATCAAAATTTACGGCTTACTATATATTAGTTTCGTGGATGTTGAAGTAAAAGATTATATAATATCTTACTTGAAACAAAAATCATTTGAAATATAGGTGCAGATATTTCTTTTGGATTTATTTACAAAATTCTTTTGTATTTTCAAAAAATTCACAATTATTTATGAAAATTTAAGTACATACCAGTGTTCTAGAAGTCGCTAGGCGCTCGCTAGGCGCCCGACCAGCGCCTAGCGCCTAGAGCGCCTAGTCGGGGCCTAGGCGGGGTCTAGGCGGGGCCTAGAAATTATAATAAATATATTATTTTTATTTATTTTTACAATTTCACTAATGAAATTATAACTTATAATTAATAAATCCATACACCTAAGTCCCAATAATATTATTAATATTATATTATAAAACAAACTCCAAGTCAAAATAAGTACATAACCACAATATAACTTCTTCTCATTGTAATTTTATCAAACACATCATCTACATGTTATTTTTAAACATTACACAACATAAGACAATTATAAAAACCAACTAAACACTAAATTTCACTAATCATTAACTAATTAAATTAACACATATAATAATAATAATACAATAAAACACATGAATAACAAAATAAGAAATAAAAAAAATATATGCATTTAGTAAAAAAAAAAAAATAATAAATAAATAAATAAATTATAAAAGCCGCCTAGAACACGCCTAGTCCCGCCGAAACTGCGTAGCCGCCGTGACCGCCGAGGCCGCCTAGCTCCGCCTAGGCCCGCCTAGCCCGCCTGGCCGATTTTTATGGCCGATTTTAGCAAATCGTAGGCGGCGCACCGCCGCCTAGCGCCTAGGCGCCGCCTAGGCGGCCGCCTAGGCCGACTTTTCGAACAGTGGTACATACACGTGATTTTTTATTTTTGGAAACAAAATTCTAATTTCAATTTTATTTTTTTTTTTGGTAAAACTACGTATAGTTTGATAAATTACTCAACTACTTAATTTTTTTATTTGGATAGTTTATAGAAATATAAATTCATTTTAATTAATGAAACAATATGGGTTGTATAATTATCTTTTATTCACATAGATTTTTAAATATATTATAGAATTTTATCAAAATATTTATTTTACGGATTCACATTAAAGTCAAAACGAATTTCAGAATAAAAAAATTTCAAATGACATTTATTTTGAAATGAATATAATGTAATTAACCATCAAAACGTGCATTGTACGGGTTGTATATTAATTTTAAATTGACGTGTTTTATGTAATTTTAAACAATTTAAATTTTATATGACATTTTCAATTAATTAATATAGATAAATTGTATTACACATCGATTTCATACTTTTAATTTATAAATGTTATTTAATGAGCATTTTTAGCTTATAAATATCAACGAGTATCCTTTACCCATACACAAATTTTACATAACATATTGATTCATTAGTTTTAATTTATAAATATTATTTAATGAGAATTTATTATTTATAAATATTAATGAATAATCTCTTACCCGTGCATCGCACGGGATTCGTACTAGTTTAATTGAAACCGAGATACAAAAATTTTCACTCGACAATGTATCCGACTCAAAATCTAATTCAAGTTTAACTCAATTTCTTTATCCTTGATATTATTAGTATAATATAATTAAATAACACCATTCAATCATTCTTAACATCACATGGACTTTAATTTACAATTGATTTACTTACATAGTTTTAACCAATAATCATTTCATAACATTTTTTTCTTACTTTTACATCAAATAAATTTTAATTATTTTATTTTAAATATTTTTTAAAATAAATTTAAAATCTCACTAACAACTAAACATACTATTTTTTCAAATTAACTCTGGTTAACCAAAAAATCAACTTTGGGTGGAAATTTTTGCATTCAATCAAGCCCTAAAAAGTCCAGGTAAATTGAAGTAAAATATGTTTGTCTCATTGTTTTACTAGTTTCTTTTTTTTAGAAGAAACATCCCGAATGGGTAAGGGATTAAGGCTCGACCCCCAACCTGTATATAGTCAAGACCCTAAAAGGACTGCAAAATGACAAGTTCACACGTCTAAAAAACAAACAACTGAAACAAAAGGATGATATGAAGGGATTGTTGGTTAAAACTATGTAAGTGCAACATGATATGAAGTGATTGTTGGTTAAACAACCAAAGCGAAAACGTCTGAGCCTGGGCTGATAGGTGCCCAGACGAGCAG